TCACAGTCTCAGCATCTAGCTCACTCTGAGGGCACTAAATAGGTACAGAAGACAATGACTGGTCAGAGAGCAAAACAATCTCCCAAGAGTACTTATCGATACACCTGGATAATCCTAGCTAATGTACTAATTCACTTCCAAAGACTGTTATCCTGGATGAGAGTAACTCACTTTTAGTAGGAAATACTTAAAAACTAAAAATCTTTCCAACCTCAAAGGAAGGTGCTATGGGCTGAATTGTATCCCCACCCACCCCATGCAAATTTACATGCTGAAGTCCTAACACCAGTATCTCAGAATGTGATTTTGGAGACAGGGTCTTTAAAGAAGTAATTAAGTTAAACTGAAATCATATAAAGGAGATTAGGACACAGACACACAGAGGGAAGACCATGTGAAGACACAGGGAGAAGACAGCCATCCACAAGTCAAGGAGAGAGGCTTCAGAAGAAATCAACCCTGCTCACACCTTGATCTCAGTTATCTAGTCTCCAGAATTAAGAGAAAATAAATTTCTGTTGTTTAAGCCTCCCAGTCTGTGGTATTTTATTATGGCCTTATTAGCAAACCAACTCACAAATAATACTGAATACTCAAATACAAACATTATGATAGAATAATGGGAAAGATCTTTGGGCAGAACAACTTAAATTTATTCCAGTCAAATCATCTGGACCTCTGGAATGCTAAATGCCAAGGGAATTCTCAGTCCTCAATTATTGGGCTCTAGCAGCATTTGACAGAACTAATCATACCTCCAATTTGAAATATTTTCTGTACTTGGCTTCCAAGATTCCAAACTTTTCTGATTTTCTCTCTCCTTCTTTGTCTCAGAAGTCTTATTTGCTGATTCTTCCCATCTGCTAACCTCTAATCACTGGGGGTCCACTTGGCCCACAATCAGTACTCTTCAAAAGTGTCAAGGTCATCAAAGATAATGAAAACCTAAGGGAATGTTACTGGGGAACTGCAACCCTGGAAGGCCAAAGAGAAGTACCAAATAAATGCCATGTAGATTCCTGAAACACAAAAAGGACATTGATAGAAAAGGTATTACAATTCAAATGAGGTCTACAGTTAATAATACTGTACCAATGCCAAGTTCTGTTCTTAATAACTGTCATGGTTTTGTGAACTGATGATGTTAGGAGAAATAGGGTGAGGAATTTAAGGAACCTCTTTGTACTATTTGTGCAGCTTTTCTGTGAGTCTAAAATTAGTTTAAAATAAGATGTTAAAAAAATTTTTTCAGCTTGTATCAGCAGTTGTCAGTATGAGAAAGAGATTAGGAGAGATTTACCCACACTTAAGGTTTAGAAGGGGACTCAGTACCCAGTAGAAGTCAGTGTGATGCTAGCAGGAAGAATTAACATTTCTGTTTGCTAAAAGGAAGATGAGTAAGATTAACTCAGAGCCTTTTGTAACGTCAGCCCTCTCGACCTAAAGAGGCTTCTAGAGCTCTTCCAGCTTGGCAAGATTTTAAGACACTGCAGAGTTCTAATCAAGGAAGCATTTCAGCAACCTCCCTGATTTTTTAGATGTTATCCTAAGAATTGCCAGTTAGCTCAAGGGAAAAGGCACGATATGCTCATGATACTTACTATTTAAATTCTTTGATAAGATTTTTGTGGATCTTCATGCAGAAATCCTCCACCGTGGTCCTGGAGTAAGGCAGCACCACTGGGGATGTGTAATCCGGCAACTGGCCTTTGGGTTTGGTGTAACTAGAACAGAGGGGGAGCAGAGGCTGCCTCCTTCTTGGAATGTTTCATAAGTTGAATGCAAATAGCCATCCCTTAACCCATAAGAAAATCAGACCTGGATAACCTCCAACTTGAAGAAGAAAGTGCCCTCAACATGGCCCAGCAGCAAATAGGAGTTAGTTAATTTTATCTCCAAACAGAGACAGATTATGTTAATAAGCTCCAGAGGGTATAATTTTAGGACAGTCTGGTTTAATTCCTACAGCAATATTACCCTATCACTAAAACTTACATGCGCACTAGTTTCAGATAATCCCAGATCTTTTCCAACAGGTCATCAAAATTCCAGCGGTGATGGGCAGAGATAGGTACACAGTGAGGTACCTTATAAATGATATCCAATTCCTCAATGGAGATTTGATCAATCTTATTTAATACATAAATACAGGGGATATAAACTCTATATAGAAAAAGAAGAAAAACAGGACATTAGTCTGAAACTGCTGACAAGACTGTCAGTCTTGATTATCAGCACCCCACTACCCAGGATCCAAATCAGAGACTTTCAAAAGGCACCAGAAAAGGCAGATAAGGAAGAAAAAAAAAAGCTTCCTACCAAAATAAGATAGAACATCCAAAAACTGAACTATGGGTTGGAAAGTAGCAAAAGTCAGGCACTAGGCTCAGCCATGCAGCAAATTACTGAGAGAACATGCTGTAGTGTTAAAAACACACACTTTTGGAGTCACACAGACTGCACCTACTCCCGACTCTCACTGCATATGTATCCCTGGGCAACTTTCAGAGTCAATTTTCCACAAAATTGTTTTATGAATTATAAGAATTAGGTATATTTCTAGTAATATATTTCACTATTTTTAAAGAATTTTTTAAAAATTTTAACACGAAATCTAGCAATATGCAATCCTAATGTCAAATCAATATGGCAACTAAGATCACTAATAACTAGGCAAACCACAGCTTCTCTGGCTTCAGTTGCCTCACTTATAAAATGCCTAACGCAAAGCTTTGGCTTTTGTTTCTTTTCAAATGAGGATCAAATGAATTTATCCAATCGAACAAACACATCAACAGGAAAGCAACAAGAAAATATTATATCCAAATGCAAATTATTTAATTTCAAATATTAGTGATAGTAATGTTTCACGGAATAGGGTTTCAGCTTTATGTTACCATTAGAGAGAACAGACAGCTTTTACAATTTCTCAGAATTAATTCTGGGTGAGCAGATTGAGAACCTACTCTCTTCAACCATCATACCGCACAGACCTTAGGGGACAATGCAGTTCACAGCCAGTAACTGAAATGGGGAATTAAGGACATTAGAAATCAAGACCAATCCTTCATTTTACAGCTAAAGAAACCAAGGTTAACTATTATTTGATATAATGGCACAACTACAGTTAGAATCAACATCTCCCAGATTCACAATCCAATGCTGTTTCCATTACAAGGCTTCAAATTCAAACTCAGGCACCAGACTGCACACTCAGTCAGTACCTGTTTCCCTCTACCACGTCAATGAGGTCATCTGCTGTGGCATCACTTCGCAGAGTCACATCGGCATTATGAATTTTGTATTCAGCCAGAATGCTCTTCACAGTCTCAGCATCTAGCTCACTCTGAGGGCACTAAATAGGTACAGAAGACAATGACTGGTCAGAGAGCAAAACAATCTCCCAAGAGTACTTATCGATACACCTGGATAATCCTAGCTAATGTACTAATTCACTTCCAAAGACTGTTATCCTGGATGAGAGTAACTCACTTTTAGTAGGAAATACTTAAAAACTAAAAATCTTTCCAACCTCAAAGGAAGGTGCTATGGGCTGAATTGTATCCCCACCCACCCCATGCAAATTTACATGCTGAAGTCCTAACACCAGTATCTCAGAATGTGATTTTGGAGACAGGGTCTTTAAAGAAGTAATTAAGTTAAACTGAAATCATATAAAGGAGATTAGGACACAGACACACAGAGGGAAGACCATGTGAAGACACAGGGAGAAGACAGCCATCCACAAGTCAAGGAGAGAGGCTTCAGAAGAAATCAACCCTGCTCACACCTTGATCTCAGTTATCTAGTCTCCAGAATTAAGAGAAAATAAATTTCTGTTGTTTAAGCCTCCCAGTCTGTGGTATTTTATTATGGCCTTATTAGCAAACCAACTCACAAATAATACTGAATACTCAAATACAAACATTATGATAGAATAATGGGAAAGATCTTTGGGCAGAACAACTTAAATTTATTCCAGTCAAATCATCTGGACCTCTGGAATGCTAAATGCCAAGGGAATTCTCAGTCCTCAATTATTGGGCTCTAGCAGCATTTGACAGAACTAATCATACCTCCAATTTGAAATATTTTCTGTACTTGGCTTCCAAGATTCCAAACTTTTCTGATTTTCTCTCTCCTTCTTTGTCTCAGAAGTCTTATTTGCTGATTCTTCCCATCTGCTAACCTCTAATCACTGGGGGTCCACTTGGCCCACTCCTTGAACCTCTTTTCTATTTATACTCACTTCCTAGCGGTCTAGCCAAGGTCATCACTTTGAAGTTGATAACCACCAAATTTGTCCCTCCAGCCCAGATCATTCCTTATTTGCCTATTCGACAGTAACACTCAGAAGTCCAATTGGCATCTCAAACTGGACAACCTGATCTTCCTCTCCCCTTCAGGACTATTGCACCCAAAGTCCTATCGTTTCAGTAATCAGAGACCATTTTTCTAGTTCAGGACAAAAAACTCAAGTCATCTCTTTCTCTCACAACCTATATCCAATCCAGCTGTAATTCCTAAACAGCTACTTTCAAAGACTTTCCATTATCAATTACTTCCCTTCTCCTCCACTGTTAAAACCCTGGTCTAAGAAGCCATCACTTGACAGGATTATTGCAGTAAACTCTTAAATGGTTTCTCTGCTACTGTTCTAAACCCATTTCAGTCTATTCTCAACAGCCAGACTGATTCCATTAAAACCTAAATCAAATCACATTTACTGGAACCCAACCAATAGTTACCCATTTCCTGAAAAGTAAAGCACATAATGGTCCTTCGCTGTGGCTTCAACTCTTACTGTTCTTCTACCGTGCTGCTCCTCAAACAGGCAACGGCAGGCTTACACCTCAGGGCCCTGTACTTGGATGTCCCCTCCACATTATTTGCAGTTGCCCAAGATGTCCTCTTGGTTCACTCCTTCCTATCACCTCCGTGAAGACTTCTCCAATCACCCCTCCCATCAATACTCTCCATCTCCTTTGCCTAGTTTACTTTTGTCCTTAGAGTCATCATCTTATACCCTACATTCACTCATTAATTTTGTTTGCTACTTTCCTCCATTAGAATATAAGGGGAGGGATTTTGCCTGTTTGGTTCCCTCTTCCATCCCCGCTCCCTACCCCCAAGACTGAAACAATGTTTGGCCCATGGGAGGAGCTCTGTAAATACGGGCAGAATGAATGAAGACACACGATAATGACAGCCATCTACTACAAACACAAGATTGCTCTATACTCCCATACCAACCCAAATAGATAACCCAAAAGAGGAAATGGAAGTTACAAAGGTAAGTCTGAGACTTTTCTCTTACTCTGATTCTTGTCCTACTGTCAGTCATTCCAGGGTCACTGAATTACGTCCAATTAGTGCTGGGAAAATACAGGTACTTCCCAAATGTCAATGTCCCTGTACCTCATTCTGCTCCCCATCCCAGTCCCTTCAGTAGCATGCCCGTTATCACCTTCTACACTTACAGTGGCTGTGAGATTAATGCCTCCCTTATCCTTCTTCTTAAAGCCAATGTTGGGGGGTTTGCTGTTCAAGCGAATGCCAAAGCCTTCCAGCTCATTTTCAATTATCTTCTTATGTCCCAAGGGTTTCAGGACATCCAGAACAATCAGGATCAAGTTACACGTTCGGGCCACTGAGGAATTGAAAAAATTTATACCCAAGCAAAGCTCATTAAAGACTTAACTAATCCAAATACTCAAAAGTGGGAGCAGGTTGTTGAGTTCCTACACTAAGAGACAGAAGATTTTTTATAAATACATAAACACACATGAGGTTCTTAAGGTTATAAAAAGATTTCTGTCGAAAGTCAATTTTTAATGTATGCCCTAACCCCCAAGACTGAAACAATGTTTGGCCCATGGGAGGAGCTCTGTAAATACGGGCAGAATGAATGAAGACACACGATAATGACAGCCATCTACTACAAACACAAGATTGCTCTATACTCCCATACCAACCCAAATAGATAACCCAAAAGAGGAAATGGAAGTTACAAAGGTAAGTCTGAGACTTTTCTCTTACTCTGATTCTTGTCCTACTGTCAGTCATTCCAGGGTCACTGAATTACGTCCAATTAGTGCTGGGAAAATACAGGTACTTCCCAAATGTCAATGTCCCTGTACCTCATTCTGCTCCCCATCCCAGTCCCTTCAGTAGCATGCCCGTTATCACCTTCTACACTTACAGTGGCTGTGAGATTAATGCCTCCCTTATCCTTCTTCTTAAAGCCAATGTTGGGGGGTTTGCTGTTCAAGCGAATGCCAAAGCCTTCCAGCTCATTTTCAATTATCTTCTTATGTCCCAAGGGTTTCAGGACATCCAGAACAATCAGGATCAAGTTACACGTTCGGGCCACTGAGGAATTGAAAAAATTTATACCCAAGCAAAGCTCATTAAAGACTTAACTAATCCAAATACTCAAAAGTGGGAGCAGGTTGTTGAGTTCCTACACTAAGAGACAGAAGATTTTTTATAAATACATAAACACACATGAGGTTCTTAAGGTTATAAAAAGATTTCTGTCGAAAGTCAATTTTTAATGTATGCCCTGTGTTCTACTAGCGTACCTAGAAAACAGATCAACTTCTATTCACACTAGTAGAAAAATAAGTCAGAATGAAGATACAAACCAGGCAATAACCTAAATTTTTTCATGAATTTAGGAAGATTTAAAACAACAGGAATTCTAAAAGATTAAGATTGTCTAGTTATCATATTTTTAGTCAACTTTATCAAGGTATTAATTCAGAAAAAAAGTAATTGTGTCCATGTTAAGCATATGGTTTCATGAAAAGTGTATAAACTCATGTAATTACCACAGCAATCATGATACAGAACATTTATCACCTCCAAAAATTCCTTTGGACTCCTATGTAATCAAGCTTCCTCTCCATTCCCAACAACTAATCTGCTTTTTGTCACCATTGGTTAGTCACCATTTTTCAGATTTTATCCATATGGAATCATACAAAGTATAGTTCTTTGTGCCTGGGTTTTTTAATTTGGGCATGATGTTTCTGACATTCACCCAAGAAGGACTTCTATAATTCAAAAACAGCTAAATTAATAACACAAGGTAGAGTAAAAATACACCAAGCATTAAAAAAAACAGAAAATTTACCTACCATCCACCCTTTTTACATGAAATTACTAAAGAGTGTACTTCAGGAAAATGTGAAAAAAAAACCCAAAAATGTCAAGACGTTGACTCTAGGAAACAAGGGATCCCACACAAGAGCACAGAAGAAAATCTCAGGATGCCAGCCATGCAAAAAGCCTAGGGCTACACTCCAATACAGACTCCACTAGCCACCTGGGGCTAAATTTAATTAAAACTAAACAAAATCTAAAATTCAGCTCCTCAGTTGCACTAGGCACATTTCAAGAACTCAATAGCCATACATGCCTACCAGATTGGACAGCACAGATTTAGAATATTTCCATTACTGGACATGTTGGTCTAGAAAGCAACCAATCCAAATGAAAGCATGAAAACAAAGGATATAGGTAGATAGTGTCAGCGTTGGGGGAGAGAATGAAATCATTAAAGTTGTATTTGGAACTATATTTTAATATCTAGAAAAATTCTGATAGACATTTGATCTGTTAGAACATTTGAAAAGTATTAAACTTATTAGAAAAGTAAGCAAAACAAAAATGAACGAATAAGTGACTCCATGCAAAATAAATTTCAAAAACAGATTTCGAGAAAAGAAACCAAGTCATAGTACACTATGAATCTCAGCACTGAACAAAAGTTACAGTCATTACATAATTAAACCTGACTGATAACATGTTAACTGAAAATTGTGATATAACTTCTTTGAAAGAAAGGGAAAAGAGTATGGAACTTAAGAGAGCTAATTCTCTACCGAAACATGAAACCAATAGATGGTATCTAATATTTTCATGAAATAGCAATATAAGCACATATTTTAAAATATGAAAATAAGTAGCAGAAAGAACAGGTGAAGAACTGACAGTACCTGGCAATGAAGAATGACAGTAGAGATGAGGAGAGGTGGGGTGGCAGATTGTTGTAATTTATGATTAGCCTTTTATGACATTTTACTTTAAATAAAAAGAAAAGAAGGAAGGGTATGGGTGAGAGTCAAGAAACCTGAGTTCTAGTTCTGAATATGCCATGAACAGTGTGACACTGGACCAAAGCTCTTCACTTCTCCTGTCCTTTATTGTTTCTCCTCAGATGAGGATCTGAACTGTTACTCTCGGAGGTCCCTTCAAGTTCTGACATTCTGCCCTGGTGAGAAGTCAAGTAAAACTATGCCTTTCGCTGTGTATCATCAACAAGCACAACAGCCTATCTAAACAAACAGTGTCTGGTAATGGGATGATATCCCAGGGTGGTGGCCCTGACCACTCACCTGCAATGACTTGACGGCCTCTGCCTTTCCCATCCTTGGCACCTTCAATGATACCTGGGAGATCCAGAAGCTATGAGATTAAGGACAGGAGAAAAGAGACAAAAGGAAAAACCAGTTACAAATATGAACAGATTAAATATAATCATTTATTTCTCAAGTATCCAAAGTTTAGGAGGTCCAACCAATCTTCCTTATAAGTGAATGTGTGAATATTACTTTTACTAGGCATCTACTAAATGTCAGCTACAAACATTTTTACATATTTTATCTAGTTAAAAATTGCTAACAACCCTGTGAGATAAGGATATTAGCTGAGGCTCCTAGAGGTTAAGTGATTTGCTCAAAGTCACATTCCTAATAAACCAAGTAAAATTATATACCCATATTTTTGGGGCCAGATACATAATTCTACATTAAAATCTTTCAATATTTCCCCCCCTTTTCTGAAGGCTGAGCCTCCACACATATCCCTTATAGCAGATAATAGCTCGGTCTTGACACACTCACATGCGATACATACTGAGACCTTTGCAAATCCCCCAATTCACAAAAATTTCTGCAGCCATTCTTAACCAGGCAAGAACATAAGACTCACCTGTAAAACAAAAATGCAGATACCTAGGCCGCATCCCTGTAGATTCTGATTTGGAAGGGCCAACGTAGGGTTTTAGATATTGACCTATCCTTCAAAACCCTCCATGGGTGACTCTGATGTGTGTCCCCAGTTGAAAAATGACTGCTCAATTATCCAGGAAATACATAAAGTAAAACTTCACAGAAGTCACAGTGTATGTACATAATGATGAGAACAGCAAAACCAGCTCCATAGCACAACACTCAAATTCACATCAGCAACCACTATTAATTATAAGCCCTTAAAGTGTCTGTCAACAACAGTTAAGACTGCATATATAAAATCTGAAAATACCAAGGGTCTACTGAATGGCCAATACTGAATTATCCACATGAATGGACAGGGAACAGTTGCAGCTTTTCAAAATATCATTTAAAACTAACCTTTGCTCTCTCCCTCAACCCCCACAGCCCCAGGCCTGATGTCTGCCAGGGGCAGAAAAGAAAACAGCAAATTACAAAAACATCCCTGGTTTCAAGCAAGAGCATGTGCTTCAGATACCCTTGATTTTGACATCAATGAAGTATATAACCAGACAAGTGCACGTGGCTTTGGAGGGTCTCTCGTCGCCCAGGATGCATCTTCAGAAACGCTGTCTCCTCTTCCCTCTCTTTAGTTCAGAGCAGCTGATTGTGAAGACAGACTCTTCCCTGGGTCTATTTTCCCCTCTGCAATTATACTCCACTGAAATATAAATTTTCCATACTGCTATCTGCTACTAATAAAAACTGTCTACCCTGCACAATAAAAAAAAAGCCTTTGCTATAAGCATATCTGACATTATAGAAATATTTCACATTAAATAAACCCCAATGAAAAAGAACTACTTGAGGAGATACTTAGTTCAACTTTTTCAGTCAAGAACCCACTAACAGCTCCATCCTTTTTCCTCACTACATAATAACATTATCTCCTCTAAGACAGACACATCGGTCAAACTGAGCTACCCTTCTCTTTTGAAAAAGATAATTTATGTTGAATACACCTGCCTTGACTTGGAAACTGTAGTTACATTGATTTAAAAGGCTAACTGGGGAGTAATTATTAAATTAATGGTCTTAATTTCTAAACACCATTCTCCAGTAAGAGGACCTAGAGCTCCTTCAAAAGTGGTTGATTCCAGGGCAGGGGCAGAGAAAATATAGATTAGCCTACAATGTCATGTGGGTGGCAAAAATAAGGAAGTATTCATAAAAAGATGGGGGCTTATGGAAAGTACACAAGAGCCAACCTATGTTGAAGGAGTTCTAGTAATCAAAGCTGGAACAATCAGAGTAATGAAATACTAGATTGTAATACATAAAATAAAATAAAATAGATACCCATGAGCCCAAACTGATACAAATTATTGAATAATAAATAGGAGAGAAGGAACAGCTGCTCCACATAGCAGAATCCAATTAATAAATACAGTAGGGCTAAGAGAAAATAAGAGAATTGCAATTAGGCAAGAAGCGCAGTAATAACTACTGCAGATAAGATCCACAGATGGGCACTAAAATGAGTAGACAAGATTGAAAAACAGGATTTGCATCTTCTCAAAAGTATCTTCCCTAAGATTTTCATTAACTACAAAAAGAAAGATAACAGCTTTACAACAGACAAACCCTACAGATACCACCTGAATCAAGAGATGGAAACCAACATCATCAATAAGACATACCGACATCATGAATCCCATAAGCTTCAGTGAGAAGGACACGCTATCATTTCTGTGGTATTCTTGCCAAAAATACTTAACGCCTCAGTCTAATCATGAGAAAACATCAGATAAACAAAAACTGAGGGACATTCTACAAAATAACTGATCAATACTCTTAAAGAGTGTCAAGGTCATGAAGGACAGGACTGAGACCTACTACAGATGGCAGAAGAAGAAAACTAAATGCAACATGGGATGATCCCAGACAGAATCTTGGAAAAGAAAAAAGGACACAGGTGGGAAAATTGGTAAAAATTCCAATAAGGTCTGTAATTTAGGTCTGTAATTATTACTGTAGCCATGTTAATCTATCTTTGATGATTATTCTAGTTATGTAAGATGTTCACATTACAGGCAGCAAGGATGATACAATCTCAAAATAATTATGCTGAACGAAAGCAGTCACCCCCCAAAAAATTACTATCCACAGACTTACATAAAACTCTTTTAATTTATAAACTAATCTATTATGACAAAATGTAGGGGATTGCTTGCAACTGATGGGAACAAGGTGGTACAGGAGGGATGGGACATGACGAAACTTTTGGGGATAATAGACTCATGATCTTAACTGTGGTGATGCTTTCACTAGTGTATAGATATGTCAAAACTTATCAAATTGTACACTTTATGTGTTTATTCTAAGTGAACTGTGCCTTAATAAAGATGTTTGAAAAACCAAACAGAAAGTTCATTAGTTGTTCCTAGAAATTAAATGTAGAGACTATTTCTTCAGTCCTCCCAAAGATTCTGTGATCTACTTTTAAAATTTAGTAAATCCTTTTCTGCTAAAAAAAAGTTTTCCATCATCAAAAGGCTTTACTGAATACTGAACCTAACTGATATTATCAAGAACCTCCAGCCTAATTTCAAATATGGAATTCAGAACCTTGCCTTCTTAGCTGTACAGCTAACAAAAACACATTCCACTGTATTATATATATATACATTCATTCATACCCAAAGAGACTTCATTTGGAAGCCCTAAATCTACCATTAAGTAAGAACTTCTCAGGACACCAACTTCATTTAGCCTCACAGACAAGAATTTTCTTCTAAAAAGGGACTGACCAGGTTTTTTCTTTAACATATTATTAAAAACTTTCAGATGGTTCATAGCTAAGTAAGAGAAAAAAATTCAACTTCCTTAGCAGGCATACAAGGCCCTTCAAAATTCAGCCCAACCTACTTTCCAGATTGTTTCTACGATTCCCTGTCCTACACCTAAGCTCACACATAGCAGGCTGCCTAAAATTTCCCTTTGCTCTCTCTGGCTGGTAAAATTCTATTTGCACCTCAGGACCCATCTCCACTGTCACTTTCTACTTGAAGCTTCTCTTTGTTTTACCAGACTCCCCACCCCCTGCCCACCCCATCCTCCTTCCTCTGAATTTTCACAGGTTCTATCCCACTGTATTATGTGTTTACTGCTCTACCTTCCTTACTAGACAGTGAGGGCCTGGTAGATCAAAGATCAGGCCAGGCATACAGAACGCTCCCAATAAGTGCTTTTTAAATGAATGAAAGAATGGATTTTTCCCCATTCTTGGCCTGGAGGTCTGACTCACCTGGATCTTGGCACCTTTATATCTGATGACACCAGGCACAGTGGTCAAAGTAGTGAACTCATATGCTGCCACCTCAGAATACACTCCCGCCAGGTTACTGAGCAGTGTTGACTTTCCCACAGATGGAAAACCCACAAACCCAATTCGAGCATCACCTGTCTTGGCCACATCAAAACCTAAAACATAAGTAAACATCAAAAAGAGGAAGAAGGTTATCCCTGGAAGTGCTGAACCTCATGTAATTCCTTTCACTTCTGGCTGCCTATCCCTCTAGGACCTATTTCTCCAACTTTTTACAGTTAACACTAGAGCAGAACTTAAAAACACAAAACTCCCCCTATAGCAAGTCACAATATTTAATAGTGCTTTATTCCTCTACCACTTATACTATTATATACATTTCTAGAACCCATAGTATTTAAGCCCCAAATGTTACTATTTATCTAAAAAATGTGTTTCTTTTTCTCTTACAAACCCTGGGAACTGTGTGATTGACTGGGTTTTCTTTAAACACATTCAAAGACAAATTCGTGGTCCTTCTCTAGAAGTGTACAGATCTTATGATATTACTTCTGGTCCTAACCTTAGCTCTTTTGGCTTCAACTACCTTAATTTCCCTTTGCATAAATTTCCTTATTTTTTATCTTGTTGACTGTGTATATTTACTTCTTTCTGTAACCAATATAAATCTATCTTGAATCAGTATACAATATACATAAGAAAAACCCTATTTCACTTTAGACAGCATTTATTTGCTTTAGACATCTGCAGAATAAATAAAATGCAAGAATTTCAGTTTACTGAATACAAATCTAGTTGGATAGAAAATTTTAAGTTACTTTTAAGCCACACACCTGTATTATTTTGATATAAGTAACAGCCCCCTCCCCATCAAAAAAAAAATGTTGAAGAAAAACACAAACCTTCTCCTGGTCCTCCACCACCACCACCTTTCGGGGTGATGAGTTCTCTGCGAAGCTTAGCAAGGCGAGCCTTAAGCAGCCCTAAGTGGTGTGCTGTGGCCTTGTTCTTTTGAGTCCGAGCCATCTATGAGGAATCATACCCATAAATCAGAAACTGTTGTTGCCGAGTAAAAATATCCAGAATGAATGCCCCCACAGCTCTGAATGATCTCTTTTCTAGGTCCTACTAATGTCAGTTGCCCATTTCAATCAGACTTTTGAAAAAGTAAAAATCCACTCTCTCCATCACGCAGGCCATTTCCCTCATTAAGGAGCAAACAGCCGAGGCCCACAGAGAAGAGACACGAGCAAGGTCATTTCAAGCAGCATTCACAGACTAGACTTAAAAAGCAGCCGCTGACTGCTTCTCTGCTGCTTGTACCTGGTATGCTCCGCCTAACACAGTCACTGCCTCACCGACTTTAAAGAGCTCGCAGCACTTCAGACAACTGAATCACACAACGATTCGGGCAAAACCAACCGCTACCACAGATCCTATTCCCGGCAGCAATACTGTAGGGGCGGTCGGGGCGGGGGAAGGAAGGGTGGCTTTCGAGAGATAAGGAAAGATGCTTGAGTACGTGAGCAGGTCAGGGCTGGAGCAGAGGAGCGGGATTCAGCGTTACTCACAAGAAAGGAAGACAAGACCGAGAGGAACGATGAACAAGAGCCCAACAGCGGAGGGGGCACATAACAAGGTGAAGGGGTGGCGAACGCGGGCCCGGGGCTGGCGGGAGAGGGGAACGCGGGCCCGGCCCTTACGCTGCTGAAGGGAGTTTAGGAAGGAGCTACACCGCCCAAGAAGGAATGCTCAGGCGGTGAGTGAAGCGACAGCTGCGCCCATTACCTCGGCTTCGATCTCCGCGATCTTGGCTAAGGTGCTGCTCATGGTGGCCAGTCGCGGAGGGTGCAGCGGCCGCCACGCGGACTTCCTCCCCTCGCACACCCGGCAGCTAACCGGCCACGGCCACCGGGCGCCACTGCGGTACGCAAACGCAGTTACTTCCTATTTATCGCGAGAGAGTTCCGCGCGAGATTAACCGCGAGACGTACAGCGTGTGGTAGTCTCCTCCCCCTCAGCCAACCCCGCCCCGTCCAGACATCCCGCGCGGTGTCATAGAGCCAGCGTGAGCGGGGGCCAGAGAGGCCGCCCCGGTGTGAACCACCCCGAGCGCGCGGACGGGCGCGCGCCTCCCGGCCCCGCCCCGCCTGGCCGGACCTGCGCCCGGCGTCCGGCTCTGCGCCCAGCGCTCCGCGCCCCGCTTCTGTGATGAGCGGCCCCTTGTTAGAGTAGCGCAGACCCGTCGCGGTCAGATACTAGGCGTGGATGAAAAGCGCACTCGGACCCTCCACCTCGCTTCCTCACCAGTACCTACGGGTCCTTGGGCCCCTTTTTCACAGCTGAGGAGACACACTGGCGCACTCCTCCACCTCCCGGGTTTGAATGTAGAGACCGATTTCTGCCTGTCTCGAGAACCTTGGAAAAAGAAAATGCCCCTTTCTGTCACTCAAAGAAAACTATTTTTGAAGTGTCTGTTTTGTTTACCCCCAACCCAGAGAATTGTGCGTGGCACATGGTGAGCCCACGTAATAAATATATGACTGAATGGATAATTCCCAAGAATTGGTACTTGGACCATAGATTGTAATAGCGAAAAATTAAAGACTATGTTAATGTTAATGCCTACCAGTGGGGAAATGGATAAGTAATGGTACTTCTATTCTGTGAAATACCACGTCAGCCATCAAAAGGTAGATCTGTGTGGTCTCACTGGAAAGATGACCAAACACACTGTTAAAAGCAAAACAAAAAACTGCCCACTTTGCGATCCCATTCATGTTTTTTTTTA